TCCCTAGAAACATACATACATGCATACATACATGCATACATACATACATACATACACATACTGCATAGTATGGAGCTTTTCTATAGAGAATGTTAAGGTCACATTGAGTAAATCACCTATAAATCAGGATAAATCACGATGTATACATTTATATGTATATATATTATACACATAAAATATTCGCGAAACAGTGTGGCCACATTCTTACGGTAAGAGCCAAGGCCGGGTGTCTAATCGAAGGTACTCGCGTCCGTGCGGGGTAAAGTCGCTGCTATTTACAGTACATTCATTCACCTCGAGATCATCGAAGTGCATGTCGACTGCGCAGGCTTGCAGAATCTGCTGGACGCGAGCGGTGCTCTTTGAGACTGCGCTCTCGTTGTGGCGCCGTGCGCGTTTTCAGGCTTGGTGGCTTTTCGTGGAAGGCGCAAGGGGCACCTCGTGTTTTGGTGGTCCAACGTCGCTTTTCCCGGCTCTGATTTCGTGGCAGGCGCAGTGAACCATGACCTTTGGACACGAATTGGCGGAAGTCTCGGGCGAAAGCTGCGGCTTGGCATCTTGTCTTTGGAAGTGCTCTTGCTGCAAAATGCCTTGGCAGGGCTGCGCGATGTGAGCCTTAATGTGCGCATCGTGACAGCATGGTTCTTATCCACACGGCCGTTGGTCAGTGCGCAAGTCGCGCGGCTGTTTCTGGACGCGCCAGGGCATGTTTTGTATGGCGTTTCTCGGCCCGACCCCGTATAGCTGGGGGCACCGCCGCTTCCAACATGTCGTTCTTGGGGACAGACGCCGACAACGGAGCGCTGAAGTGCAGGTCACGGGGATCTTTCCGGAGAGACAGACTGCGGCTTGGAACTGCTGGCGACTACTGTTCGGAACATCGGCCCTCCTGTCTAGCAATCGCCCTTCTCCGATGGGCCGCCACATGCTTGTATCGAGTAGAGGCACTTCCTTGGACTTCCCACAGCATTGGTGGCAGTCTGTCAAGTTGCCAAAGCCCTCCAGAGTGCGGTGACCAATGGGCTGGTGGAGACTTGGGCATTTCCACTTAAACGCGCGCAGCACTTGCGCTCTGCGTGCGTCGTTCAGTGGCTTTCAAGTTCAGGAGTCGCCCAAGTTCGTCCAAAAATTCAGTCGGCGTTTTGCCAACCATGTTCTACATCCACTGAAAGCGCTTTTACTTCAGCAAGGGATTCGGCAGCGTGTGGCCATCCTTCTATTTCTGTTCAAAACATCTCAGATGCAACGTATTCATCCCGGACACGCAACCAACATCGAAACAGGATCCCGAAGCGAAAACCGATGGTCTTTTCCTGAAAGTCTCAGCAGCAGTCTTCTGGTATCTTGTGGCGTTCCTGGTTTTGGGGAAGATTAAGGCTCTGACCCCGTCCGAGTGCTTGATCTTAAGCAGCGTGTGAAAGGGGTAACTCGTGGCCTAACTGCGGGCCTCAAATTGGATGCTCCGTGGGTGAAAATGAGAACGGCTGCTACAGTCACATTCTCTTGCGCCTGACATGGTTCAGGTGTCACAAGGAAGTAAGTGGGCCGCTGCCCTCAACTGTCCATGAAGGCAGGCAGCGGCTAGATGTTCTGGTCGAGTAGTTGCTGACTTTTGACAGCCCATTTCAAAGTCCAGATTGCGAGGGCACAGGGCCTTCCTCAGGATCACGCCGTCCGTCCCAACCAATGTTTCGGCAGACTTTGTCGCCAGCGCCAGCGCCGCGGCGCCACCACCATCGCCAGCGCGTTGGCAGGGGCAGCAGATTTTGTGGACCTTGAGGTGCAGACTTTGTGGCAAGCGCAGTGCTTTGTGACCTTGAACTGGCAGGCACAGCATTTTGTGGACCTTGCGTTGCAGATTTTGAGCAGGCGCAGTACTTTGTCGACTTTGAAGTTTGAAGTGCAAATTTCGTGGGAGGCGCAGCGTTTTGTGGACCTTGAAGTGCAGATTTCGGGGCAGGCGCAGATTTCGTGGTAGGCGCAGCGTTTGTGCAGATTTCGGGGCAGGTGCGGAGTTTGTCACCGCCCACCACCACCACCACCACCACCAACAACAACAACAACAACAACGACAACGACAACAACCCCAACCCCAACCCCAACGACAACGACAACGACAACAACAACACCAACAGCAACAGCAACAGCAACAACAACAACAACAACACCGGCACCAACGCCAACATTACCACCACAGTTATCGCCACCGCCATCATGAAAACATCATCACCACCGCCACCACCACCACCACCACCATCACCGCCACCATCACCGCCACCACCGCCATCACCACCATCACCAACACCATCACCATCATCACCACCACCATCACAACCATGACCACCATCATCACCGCCGCCGTCACCACCACATCACCATCACCATCACCATCACCATCGCCATCGCCATCGCCATCGCCATCGCCATCGCCATCACCACCACCACCACCACCACCACCACCTGCACTGTAGACCTTAGACCTTTTGCTTCTGCACCTCCTTTAAGCACACTGTTTGGGGTCCCTTGGCGGGATAGTATGGGGAATGGTGTTTTGAGGAAATCAGTGGATTCAATCGGAAGTCGCTACCCCATCCGCTGCGTGGTGCTGTTGGGTCTGTGGTTCCCGGCCTTCACTTGGAAACGCAGCTCCGGTCCTCCTTCGGTTGATCGGAAGAAGTCAACGTCATCGTCACTCCGCAACCTTGCCGGTAACTCAGGTGATGAGGTCCATGCGGAAGCAGAGCGATTGTGAATCCACCAGTGATGCTTGTCAGAGGCCCTCACCACAGCAAAGCTTCGAGATAGAATATATATCATACACATAGTAGCGAACATGATGTGCGGAGAGAGTGAGGACCCCTGTTGTAATTGTCTTCAACCAACGAAACAGAAGAAAGATCCAGGTCCCAGCCGACATATTTTCCTCCTGTCTGGGATCTACTAAAACCAAGAGACTCAACAAGACAATATATACTGCCTGGACAGGCTGGCTGTTAATTTGCATCCCCCTGCCTTGCACGCATGCTGGCCTGCCAGCAGCGCCCGATAAGCCAAGCTAATCGGGCGTTCGTTTGGTTTGGTGACCCTTTGGCTGAAAGCGCAAGGAGAATGAGAGGGATTTGTGAGGTCACCAACCAAATTGTGCCGTTTCTGCAGGTGGGATTCATTTCAGTGGATTCAAGGAACCCGAATTTGAAAGGAGCCGAATCTCTTTGAGTTGGGTTTGTCGAGCAGGGATCGCAGTAGCCCCATTCGCCACTGGAGATTTTGAGGTGATGGACGTTTGTTTCGCAGTTTTCTCCACGACTTTCAGCTTGAGGTGGATGCACCATCAAGTTGCCACTATGAACCAGCGCCTTATGGCCTCCGGCTCAGAGGCTTGCCGCTTGTTTGAGCACTAGATCAAAAGGTTGGTTCAACTGTGGGAAGCCGTTCTTGATTATACATTGTTATTTTTGTGATCTTGAACCAGGGCTTTTCAGCTGTTCCCGCTTCAACCATCCCTATGCTGGGGGTTCTCAAGCGTGCTTTGTTGCTCTTCGGCTGCTTTCGTCCGTGCCAGATGCGGGTGGCCAAAGCAGTGGAAGTGAAGCCACCGGACAGCAACGACGTGCCCACTCCCACGAAATTCAGGCAGAGAGGGATGGCAGGGGCGAAGAACACTGTGCGAGACAAAATTTGCAAGCAAACTTCGTCAACAGCAATCTGGTTAAGTTTTCCAGAACATCTTGGAACCAAATTAGCGCGAGCGCTTCCTTGAAGAAGCGTGAGCTATCCTGCGTCCAGTTACTAATTAAGTAGCTAGTAGCTCCCTTACTTAATTAAGCCTTAGGGAGGGGGGGAGGTTGGCCAAAGAACAAAAGACGCTTTAAAGTCTTTGCTAAGTCAGGTTTTCATGACAGTTTGGTGCACTGAGCCTTTGGCTGAAGTCGGTACGGCTGAAGGCTCTCTGGGTCAGTCATCTTGAGGGAAGAACCCGAATCCAGGTCATACATGGTCATGCTACATTCATCAGCAAAGCAAAACCCCTACATCATTAAAAATTTTTTCGGTTCGTCCGCCTCCAGGACGAGCGGTGCGGCGGGTTCAGGCTTGGGAAAGGAGGATGAAAGATGTGTGTTGAAGGCTTTGGTCAAGGACGATTCCATGCTAGCAGAGGCTCATGTATGAAACGACGATAAAGACTGATAAAGAGGCTCATTCGGATGGACCTTCTGTTGAACGCCTGTGGAGTTGCAGACTCTGTAGGGATACAAACTCGAACACGAAGAGACTGCCTCCGCGTGACAGGCAGTCAGGCCTCTCCGGCAGTCCCCAAGCGCCGCAGCCTGGGAGCCCAGGAAAAGTGTTTCATTCCTTGTCAATTCTTTTCTCTTCGCTACTAGGTGGAGGCCATCGCTAGTAGGTGGAGGCCATCGCTAGTAGGTGGAGGCCATCGCTGCTAGGGTGGAGGCCATCGCTGCTGGCCATCGCTAGTAGGTTGCATTTTTTTACATGTTCCATTTTCTCTTCTCTTCACCTTTTCTGCTTCCAGGTGAACCTGGCATCCCATGGCCTTGGAAATCGTGATGGTTCATTCGCTGCATCTGCTTCGCTCTGGATTCCCGGTGCAAGATGCACTTGCTGTTGGGCTCTACTCACCCAACAGCAAGACCGATGGCCTGTGTCTTGCCCAAGGTCAATGACCTGTTCCTCCACAGATCCACAATTTGTCAATAGCGTTGAATCTGAATTGAATTCATCCTCACTCCAAGACCTCAGCTCACACAGAGATTTGAGATGGAGAGTGTTAATGACTTTTAATGTGTGCTGTATGTATTTGCATAGATTGCTCGATCCTATCTTCACGAAATGTCGATGCCATTGTTTTTTTTGCAGCAGCAGCTTTTTGTGCATTAGCTGTTTAAGATGTTTGATTTCCTCCGCAACAATCATGAATTGAGCACACCACCACCCCTCTAGTATATGTCTCCTTCCGTTTTCGCCGTTCGTTGGTGCAGATTCTGAGCTCCCTGCCGGCGCATGACAACATCATCCGATGCTTCGGATATTCCATCGGGGCGCCGAAGGGCTCAGGCACAGGTGTTGGTGTAAGAAAGCAGAAACTTGAAGTGGTTCTTGTTGAAGAACTGTACGGACTGGAGTGCAATTGCTGCTTCATGAAGATGCTAAACACCGGAGGTGACGGAACCGTGAAGGTTCTTCTGGAACTTTGCCACGGACATTTGCTTGACTTTCAGGCCCTTACTGATTTGATGTTATTCTTGGCATTCATGTCAAAAGGTGCAGTTGCAGTGCAAAACTACAAAAAGTTTCTTCTTGGCAGTCTGCAGGACTCTAAAGGTGGCAAGCTGTCGCCGAAGGAGATGATGGAGCCATTTGTGCAGATTGCTGATGCAGTTGGGCCTAAGTGCACTGGCGTGTGAGATCAACATCGTTGGTGCAGTGAACCATTCTAGTGGTCCAGGACTTCTATGTCTCTTTCTTGATGCATGAGCTAGCAACACCTTTGACCACCTGCAGCAAACAATTTGCCCTTTCTTTGTACACCTGCTGTGAACAACTGAAGCGAGGGTGAAGTGGTTTGTTACTGTTTTGCCCTTCTTGAGACATGTGATTTTCTGCAGCACATCAGTAGCTGCTTGTTTTCTAGGTGAGGCATTTGCATGCACAAAAGCCCGGGTCCAAGTGGGCTTGCCCATTTGCAGGAGTAGGATCGAATAAGTGACTAAGGTGAGACTGGGCGATGTAGGACGAGGACACTTGGACATCTTGCATGTCTTTTGCTCATATCATATGATATCCAAGATCCAAGTGATATGATATCAATGATCTCTTCATGTGGATATTTTGGCTTCCTAAGGCCGCCGATCCAGCACCGTGACCTCAAGGTGGAGAACATCTTGAAGGCGTACCGAAAAGACCACAAGTTGAGGCCAAGGCTTCCATGACTGAAAGGCAAAAAAGAGGAACTAACTTTGCTGGTAACACTTTTTTTTACGGGTTTTTCTGATGATTTTTGTGAGTGTATATATATATAAATAGATATACATACACACACACACATCTTTTCTTTTCTTGTATGCTGACTTGCGCAGGGCAGTGATGGCCACTGGAAGCTTTGCGATTTTGGCTCTTGCAGCACTGACCTGAGAAAGGAATCTTAGACTTGCAGACTTGCTGACTAGAAAAGAGACCAAAAGGTATTTGGCTGAAGAGACAAATGATCTCAAGAAGAAACATGTTTGGTAAAGAGAGGTAGCAACTTTGGCCAAAGAAACATGATCTCAAGGCACCAGCTGCTTCGAAGCCGAGCTGCCACGACCGCAGCTCCAGCGGTTGCAGGCCCAAGGGCCATGAAGAGAACTGGGACATGAACCACTACCTCATGGTTTGTGGGCCATGTATGGTTACTGTATGTATAAAAAACAGTTATTAAGTTAACAGTATTATATAAGAGTATTACCGAACGTTGGGCCCAGCATTCCATGGCTTATGTGCTTGAAAAGTCGATCAGCGATTCAACCGCTTTGGCTTCGGCGGGGATCTCCTGCGATTTGCTGCGACCATCAAGCCACTCTGGGTATCAAGGAGTATAAACCAGTAACGAGTTTTCCATGGCAAAACCGGACTCCTGAACAAGAAACAATAGACTCTCCGACTCTCCGGTGATATCCGGTGATCCACCCGATTCATTTACAAACACTGCGCATTGGTCAGGCACACAACGGTCAGACCCTCTTGCAATCTCTTGAATGCCGTGAAAGTGGCAATTGCAAGCGGATGTCGCATTGAATGTGTTCAGATTTAGTTGGTCTAGTTGCTCACACATGCAAATACTCCTGGCGGCATCCTTGCATTTGCAACTTTCCTGGGAAGTGCACCGCTCAAGGCGGCGAGCAGACCTTGTGAACTTGTGTGCTATTGCAAATGAGGTGCCCTCAAGATGTGGAGTAAAGCTTTCCATGGTGTTGCGAGGAGGTGGTTGTAAAGAAGACTTTCTGAAATAAGTAGGCAGATTAGGACCTTTCTGATGACGTAGTGACGCAGTGCGAGAAGTCAGAAGCTTGGTGTTGGTGGTCCAAGCACTGAGACCTTACCACAATCCAGTTCTCGACCACATTTACCCGTGGACGGATGGTGTGCAATCGGTCTCGACCGCTGCCAGTTCTTTGGGATGTTCTGGGTCTATTGCCGGAGATATTGTCCTCCAAGTTCTCAGCTTCCAGATGCTTCCAGTGACAGTTTCGAGTCAACCACATCCTGTGGCTTGCTTTCGTTGCATCTTGGCGTGGCTGTGGGGGGCCAGTTTGTGGGTCGTGAGGAGCCTTTTGACCAGCATGCTGCATGCCCTACTTGGGCGTGGCACCGCCCCTGCCACGACTGGTTGAAGCAGAAGACCGGGGTGACGGACATTGTGACGGACTGGCTGTGAAAAGTCGCCTTTGGAGTGGAGCGAACATGTTGATCTCGTGGAGAGCTAGACATGAATGCTGTCGAGAGCTGGACATGCTTGCTGGTTCCACCTTTGCATCGACCATCAAGCGTGAGCTGGTAAAGAATTCTTTTTGGCTAGACAGACAGACAGACAGACAGAGTATCACTGCAGCAAGGCTCGCCGCTCTTCAACTGGCAACTTGCAATTTGGACGTGCGTATTTCTGCCGGTATCACATTTTTGCAGCGAGCAAGCCATCAGCTGGCACGGCTTCAATGGCTAGAAGAAGCTGCAAAACGCTTGGGAGCACAGGCAAAAGAGGAAAACAGCCGGGGAAGAGTAGCAGACATACTCCTTGCTCCTATCTCGCTCTCTAAGCTTTTTTCTTGTTCTTGCTTCATTCATTTCATTCATGTTTGTTCTCAGCGTCACCGCTAGCATCTTTGCCGCTTGTCACCCATATCCATTTGTGAGTCCCAAAGCCTCTCACTTCGTCGAATACGGTCCCTGCTCAGCATCATTGCTACTGGGACGCTATTAGATGCTATTAGTAGCAAAGGGTACTAGGAGCAAGGACGCTACTAGTAGCTCCTGGCCATACTACTAGTAACAAGGGCATCGCTACTAGTAACAAAGGGCATCACTACTAGTAGCATTCTTACTACTAGGAACAAGAAGCTATATATATATATACACTAGCTGAGTTGCACCCTTTTCAGTTGGAAACGCCACTTGTTGCCTGCAACACAGCCCTTTGTGTGCGTTCGGACGGTCATCACTTTATCACCTCCATTTTGTCGTCACGCGGCCGTGAATGAATTGCATTTTTTTCCTGCAGTCTGCCTGCATCAACATGCTTGTCCAATAGGTCTCTGACTCTGAATGTAGTCTCTCTCTCTCTCTCTTTGTTGCTCAAAGCTTTATGCAGCCTTGGGTAGGGGTAGGATGGATCCTCTCGCTTCAGGAAGACCCTCCGCCGGGATCTTTCAGGCGTGGCCCCCCTACGAAGCCTGATCATTCAGTCCTTTGCACCCTCAAGGAGTGGTGGGGGGGCGACTGCCTCTCCAAGGGGAAGGAGGCTGAACTGACCAACACTATATAAGCCCTTCCCACGAAGAAGATCTCTCCGGGCAAAGTTCAGGAAGATGCTGCGGGTGGCAAAGGAGGAGCCTGAGACCGCGGGCCCAGAAAGCCCTGTACGCAATGACCTCCTTGTATCTGGAGAGTTGGCGCACATGAACATCCAGGTTGACCGATTCGCAAGGTCAAGGGTCAAAGGCCGCTCCAAGAAAGTGCTTGAGAAAGGTGCCCGGAACCTGCAAGAAGAGTTTTGCACAACCTTGTTGCCATCATGAGCAACCTGCTTTGATCTGGAAGTTCGGTAATCCCCCACAGGCACCTAGCTTTCGTTCAGCCTTTGTCCCTCCACTTTTGAATGTTGGTTTGCAGTGAGTTCCAAAGCTGGTTTTTCCCAAGCAGCTGGTTACATGAAAGCCTTGAGAACTTTTATGAACGCTGCCAGGATGAGATTGACAAGACCGTGACGCTGCTTTACAGGCGCAACTCCAGTCTAAGATCCCGAGAAAAGACCTCACCGTGATTGTGCCACTACCTTCTTACATGCTGAAATGGTGGGCAAAAAACTCCAGCCGTTGCTGGAAGCCAATGGGGCCCAAGGATATTGGTGGATGCTGTTGATTCTTTCACTGGTCTCACAGTCAGTTTCTGACCTCCGACAGACCGCCTCAACTCTTTGAGCTGTGGACCTCGGCCCCATGAGCGCATTATATAAGCTTATATTGAGGTGCTTGCAACATCTTGCACCGAGTGCTTACATGACCAATTTTGTGCGTCCAGGCCGCCAGAGATGGCCGACGTCCAGCTGAACAGCAGAAAGGCTTTGGTTAGACTATTATTGATTGAGGAGTGGACAAGCATTCAGTTGAGGGAACTTTACAGTTTCTTATCAAGGTTGAACTTTTGTTGGAGGAGCAGCACACCCCAAATGTGTTGACTTTTGTTGTTGTCAAGTCATTCTGGTCACCTGTGTATCACACTTATAAGATCTATATACTCGTTTTTTGAAACACATCATAAACTGAACATGGCTGTATAGATCGTTGGGAAACGCTGGGCATGGCGGAAGTTGACCTCACAATACGATCTGGTCTTAAGATGGATTCAGAACTTGGAAAAGAACATTCTACCTAGAACACCCTTTAAACTCCTTGTGTAAGTTTGTCAGGATCCGGGTTTAGCCATGTATATACTCGCAGCCAATACGAGACATTGAACCTTTGTTGTTGCAAATGATTCCGAGATGAAGAAGACATGAGTCCACACCGAAGGGCACATGTAATGGACGTCATTGCACCGTAGGATTCTAATGGTCTGAAGCCAAGTGTTTTTGAGGTGATGACCAGACCATACAAACTGTGAAAGCAGCTTCCTTGGAGGATGACTCCGCCGCTTGACTCCGCAGGGCTACACAATCACCCAGCAAGTTGACATTTGGATGTTGCTCGGACTCAAAAGCATGCCATTGCGCTTGTCGTGCTTGTGCCTCTTTTAAAATCAATTGGATCATGAACGGCACTGGACATGTCTCCACATTCTCGCCACAATGTCAGGTAGAGTGAGTTAAAGCTCAGGGTAGGGAAGCACAAGCATTTCGTTCCTCAAAGCAACGGGTTTTCAAGGAAGCTTCTCTGGGTTTTGACCTCTACCAAACGAACAACAAGTTGCTTTTCATTGACCCTTTTCCTGCTTGTTTGGATGGGCTTTTTTGTCATGGCATTTCGTGGGCAGACGTCTGGCCTTGTCTCGCCAATGCATTCTGATTGGATTATATAGACTGAATGTTCACATCACTATCCTTATTCTGAGGCTGGGTTGCATCCTCTACACACTTGCCTTCTATCGACATCCATTTCAGGCAGCACTCGTCTTCCAAGCATGCGTGTCGGAGTCACCGTGAAACTGCATTGGTTTCATTTATGTATAGTATACGTTATTAAACAGTTAAACCATGTTAAACATATGTAAACATCAGGTTTTGCAAGCAAGTGGAAATGTTCTTGTACCGTGCAACCTGTCCGTGTCGAGGATCATGGGATCGCTTGATCTTTTTAGTCATGCCCAGTTCCTGGTCACCTTGCCTGTGACATTGATTTAGGATGATTAGGCGTATAAGGACACGTGCAGCTTCAAGCGAAAGTGAAGCTCCTTTTCCATCTGGCTGTGCAGGACAATGCGACACCCATGGCAATTTTCAATGCCAAGTACTTCATTCCTGCTGACCATCCAATGGCAAGGTCGCATGACGTGGGGAAAGCTAGCAGCTGAACATTGCATCACTTCCGTTCGCTGTCTAGGTAGGCTTGGCACGGGCACTCCACCACCTGTTCCGTCAAGCTGTTTAGCTGCTTGATTTCGCCCACTACAGTAGTCAACCTGATGTGGCAAGCTGATCTAACATATTCTCACATTCTCTCGTGGACTTCCGTCGGATCATAGTCTTCTAGATTTGCACTGCCTGCGTTTTGTTGTGTTGATCCAGTCTCTGAAACAGCGCCGCCCCAGGAGTGCGAAATTGTGCGCCTTAATCCATTGGTTGCTGGCACCAGACCCCAAGGTGCAATTTTTTGGGGCAGACCCGAGTCGCATCTAGCTGCCACATGTTGCCAAAGCTGGACAACAAAGTCAAGACAGTCAAACCGTTGAGAAGCTTCGGGCATCAACCGCATGATAACTCTTTAGAAAAGAACTTTTTTTGATTTGTGTGGAGGAGATAGTGATAGATAGTGGTCGGTACCTGTATCGGTGCAGCAGCTATGCATATAAGAATGACCATTTGGAGCGCATATGCAGGCAAAGTTGTGAAACCTAGCTATTGAAATCGCTTGCTGATCTGCAGGACAGGCCACCAGCCCCTCAAGTCCTACAGGCCGTGACCGCCGTTTGTGCCGTTTTTCGCTGGAGGTTCTACGGTCCTGAGCGCCGGTTTTGTGGTGCGGTTTCATGGCTTTACAGTCTGTCCATCATGTTACAAGTTTGCGAGAATGCAGGCTGAATGTTTAAAAGATTTGGAACTGGCAAATGAGACCTTCCACTTAAGTTCTTCACTTGGGTAATCTGAAGGCTTGGTGAATGAGATTGTGAAAGCATGCTCCCGATAAACTGGACGAAAACCATTACTCTACCGCGCTGCAGGTGCTGCATTCACGGTGCCATCCTGTGAACAAAATCTAGGCTACCTTAAGTCCTTAAGTGTGCCAAATTGGTGTTTTGGGGAATACGCCTTGACCAAACTCCATGCATTCAATTCAAACAAGTCTGAAGCTAAGTGGCAAACGACGAAGCCTCTTAAGACATTTGAATAGTTATTTTTGAGCGACTGCACGCCTGAGCTTGCCAGCTGTGTCTTAGACAGGCCTGCCGAGAGATTGGCAAGTCTGAATATGAGGACTTTGTCAAGTTGGGGCCCCAGAAGGCTTCAGGAGAAGACCGAACACTTTCAGGCAAAGGTGCTGCACCAGGTTTCCAGCGCACCTGGTCAATTAAGCCTGTTCAAGGGTTTTCTTGAAGCCTGAAAGCACTGCTTAGCCATGGCCCATGCTGGAACCTAGTGACCAGTGACTAGTGGACACAAGGAGGCTAATGTTGAGTGTTGATTTCAAAGTCCAGAGCAAATCCCCAAATTTGGACTGCCAATGTGGGGGAAACATGAAAAAGGACCCAACGGATCCCGAAGGCTTACAGATATATACATACAGTACTTTGTGTTGGCCTTTCAACGTCTAGTGACTCTTCATGGATGTTCATTTTCGGTGCAGTTTCAACAAAAACTGAGGGCCATGCCAGCTCCTGTGAGGCCCGGAGCTTACTTCTTGGAGAATGCAACGATGCGTTTGGTAGTTGATTCGAAGTGTTTCCAACCGGGAAAACACCACACAACTTCGTTAATGAGTCGATGACCATTTCATAGCCAGGGTCAGCTCTGAGCCAGTCGTGGCATTTTGTGCCTTGGTCTGCTCTTCTGTCACCTTCATGTGCAATGGCAGGGAGAAAATCTTGCAGCAGGAGAGAATCTATGGTGCCAGGCCGCTCTGTGGGCTTGCTTTGTTTCAGTTTCTGTTCGTTCGGAGCAGATTTCGTGTGTCGACCAGATCTGATCTCGTATTTAGTTTATATAGAATGTTCATGAATGTTCTACAGCCTTTGTTACTAGAAGCGTCTTGTTACTGTTAAGATCTTTACTGAAGCCAATTGATCGATTTGTCGCTTTGTTGACACGATCGCCACGGAGGAACTCAAAGGAGCCACCGAAAGAGTGGGTCGGGCCCTCAGTGAGAGGTGTGTGACGCACCAGAAGGGTTGAGCAGAACACTGCACTTCTTCTTACAACTTTATATCAAAAGTGTTCTATACCATCCCTGATTTATACACACTTTGAAATTGAACACTTTGGTGACACTTGGTGACAGTTTGGTGAAGAACATTGTTTGCGGGAAATCCTAACCTCCAGAACATTACCCAGACTTAACATGACTTCAATGTCACTTTGTGTACCTGACTTTTGCCTGTTGTCAAGGTAGAAATGACCTACAAATCCACTAGCCAGGTGAAGCGCAGCAGGTACTGGGAGGTTTATCATAGTTTATCCCTCACGTGGCTTCGCTGCAGATGGGGAGATGGTAGAAAATAAATGAGGCCAGCAGCCCCCTGCAAACTAGACAAAGCCTTGTGTCCAAGTCACTCACCTGTCCCCTGCACCTACATCTTTCTTTTGTGAATCAATCGCAATGAGCTGTGTGAGGACCTGAAGAATCTTCCGATGGCCACAGGAGCCAGATCGCAACCAGAACCAGTCCGCAAGGTTGAGGCAGGATGGAAATGGCTGGGTCAGGGAAGAGGTGTTCTCCAGTATGCTGACCATCCAACACCTAGATATGCCCACGGCCACAGGGTCAATTTCAAAGGCTTTGAACCGAGTTTACCGACAGTCTGTTTGTAATCAGAGGCTCTAATCTCATCCCTTCTGTGGCCGGAGAGTGTGCAGAAGTGCTAAGAGTGCAGCTGCTTTACAGAATCACACCGGTGCAGACCTTCATCCCGAATCGTCCCTCCTGTCATCCAATCCGCCTCTTCCCAGGCCAACGGGACGGCGCCGCATACCAGCGCAGCACAGCACGAGACCCAGATGTACACTTACGTATCTTACGTTTCAGAGTGAGATTGGACAGGGGGTTGTAGCAGCTATGAAAGAGCATCCATGTGTCATAACCTCTTGACTTCAACCCTTCCAAAAACAACAACAAGCTTCTGTTAGGGGGCTACTTCCACGGAGAAAATGATCCACGCATGATTCTGATCTTCTCAACATCGTCAACGTCTACACAATATGATACGAACATTTGCCTCCTCTTCTTCTTCTCCTCCTCCTCCTCCTCATCCTGCTCGTCCTCCTCATCATCATCATTGTCACAACATCGTCATCGATACCACGCTGTAATCGAAGAGAATGGTAAAATGGGGGTGGTAGGCATGGGTTTCAAGCTCTGACATTTGACAACATTGTTATCATGATCATAGCATTGTCACTGTTTCCAGGCCAGAGTCCTTCGAAAGTTCCTCCTGCACCAACGTATGTGATACTAGCACGAAGAAGGCGTAGAGAAAAGCAGGGGTGGCCAGGGTGGATTCAAAAGCACATTACAAGACATTGTTTTGAAGGCCCCCGAATGCAAAATACGACGAACTACGCCTGGCTTCCATGTTGAGCTGGGCCAATCATCCCGTTTTGCTCAATCGGCGTGCTACTAGTTGCTGTGTGAGCAACGGGACATTGTCTAAATTATCTAGATTTCTGCAAAAGCGATGCGGGGCAATCCCACATGAGAATCTTATCATGAGAGAAACATTCCACAACACTGCAGACCGATAGGGGCCGCTGACCAACTCTTGCCCTAAAGCAACTGCTTGTCCGCCACTAATAATATATATATATATATGGAAACAAATTGGCTGGACTCAACACTTGATGACCAAGCATCGAGTGTTGGAAAGGCAGCAATCGCATGCAAATGCTACATGGAGACAGTAGCAATGCCGTGCAGTTGTTTGTGAAGACAGTAGGGAATGTATTTTAACAAGACCCAGGGAGACCCGCAGCATCCCGCAACCGGGTTTTGGTCTGGTTTGTTTCCCTTCATCCAGGGGGTCTTTGAGACGTCTCCTATTGCACACCCATGGGGGTCTTTGAATTGGAGGTTTGATGTGAGATTTGCGCTGGCAGAGGGTGCAGGTGCCGAGACGCCTGCCATCGCTTGGTTGTCAAAGGTGTTCAATGGCTTTGATGCGTGCCTTGATACCAAATGCAGGAAAGGATGGGTCGAGATAGTTTTTGGTCGCAATGGACTGAGACACAAATCTCATGTAATTAAGTATATATATATATATACATAAAATATGATGTAGTTTGATCTCAACAGCTTGATTGGGAAGAGACTTCTGCACATCATGAACGCGTCGTTGCTTGCTTTTAGGTGCCTATCCAGCCCAGCCTGCGAAGCCGAAGGTGGCCGGAGCTAATTTAACTCACTGGAGCTTACCAGCAGCATGTGAACCAGCAGCAGATGACTCGGATGAAGTAGATGTCAGGAAACTCCAACAGACTCCAATGAACTCTGCATTTTGATGACAGACTAACTCGACTAACTCGACTAACTCGACCCTTCTAACTTCATTTACTCAGCGCAAGCGCTAGGCACCGCCCAGCCAGTTGCCCAGAGGTTCATCAGCACAGGTTCGCTTCAAGTTCAAGTTTGTATTTGCATCACCGCCATGGCTCGGGCGATCGATCAGTTCTCTTTTGGGCGTAACAAGAAGCTAATAGAAACAAGTGCATCGCTACTAGTAACAAGTGCCTTACTACTAGTAACAAGAAGCTATTAGAAACAAGAAGAGAATCTTTAGTATCTTGGGCGATCGATCCTTCATGACGCGCTGAGGGTTGCAAGAGGACTTGCTTTCCTTAGATGGTGGAGGGCCTCCCTCCAATCGAGGCGGATAGTGAGGGTACAGAGGTACATAGCCTCATAGAAATTTGAACAACACATTGCATGATTCTTGTGGCACTGTACAAGTGCCTTGTGTGCAGCACCACTGTTTTCTTTCTGACAGGCTTGCACCATGCAACCTCTGCCCCTGCTGTGGATCTATTGGACATGTCCACCACTCCGTGACTGGGCTTGAATGGGTGACTAGAGGGATGCCGAGAAGAGGCGTTTCAGATCGCCTTGCCACCAAAATACCTTATCACAAAACTAGCGGAGAAACTGGCAGACCACGCGGAAAGGATAACATCGAATCTAAGTTTAGTCTAAGAGTCTATATATAACCTTTGGTTTTTGGACAACTTCCCATCCTTCCTTCCAAAGCATATCCTGTAGGATAGAGCCGTGTTCACCGATTCAAACCATTTTGTGCTTTCGGGTCTTGAGATGTGGTCCTCAACACCCACTCGGGCCACTGGTTTCCGGTTTCCGATGGTTTTCGCCTGGAGAAGTTTCCTGGTGAAAATGGTCATTCAAAAAGATGTAATTATTTGTTGTGGTGGATCAAGGTGCAACACTGATTCAACTCATGCCTGAGGTCACGGGCGAAAAGCGCCCCACCGATGGCGACAGGTGATGAGATTGAAGAGTGGGTCAGGTGATGGAGCCTCTTCGGAAAGAAGAGCAATCGCTCAGCCCCAAAGGTCAATCGAACGTGTTTTTCATTTTTACGTTATCTTCCACAAAGTGCACATGTGCAGTGCAGGCATGTGTGCGGTGCATCGGTGGACGCAACATTGTTGGGGACGCTTTGTGTAGAACCAAGAATTGAAGTAAATCAGGTGTAAGGCTTTGGATCCATCGAAAAGAGGAAGGCACAAATGTTGACGACATCATGTCTCCGCCCTAGCCTAGAGTTGGACTATGTCCCTACCGAATGGCGATGGCCTCCAACCTACTGGCGATGCCTAGAAGCTATGTCCCTACCTAGAGTTGCACCTGGACAGGTGACAATCTTTTAGCCTTCGCAGATTTCGGCAGTATGCCCTCGCAGGCTGGGCACCGCAGGCTTCCCAGATTTAACCAAGAAATTGAAGATTGATGGGACAAAAAGCAGCTCCCTACTATCATGCAGCCTGCTTCAAGTGGAAGGCTTGTTGAATTATTTCATGGCATATGAATCATATGAATCTCAAGTGTAGCCCTTCTCCAATCACTGGCAGGATGTGAACGCAGGAGCGCCAAACGCAGGAGTGACAGCATGGTGTCGCAGTGTCCATACGTGTGCATGTCCATGGCTCTTCCTGAGCTCACAGACAGACAGCCTGTTTTTTTTTTGTTTGGGGATTGTCTCGTCCAAACTGGCTCTCCGTGAGGACCAGTTTCATCTCCAGCGCCTGGCTGGCTTGCTTTCTGGCTACTCACTTGTGGTATCAAGGTTGATTGTTGAGTGAATTGTCCGGGAAAGCTTCTTTGCGGAGCCTCTGATGCTGTGATGCAGTGCTGTCAACCGGGTTCTTTGCAGCTCTTCAACGATCTTGTCAGGGATTTTGCCGATTTTGGCTCTGCGCCAAGTTTCGACGTGTTCTGGCTGCAAAACCAGTCGAGGGCATTCGACACACACACAAACACACATCATTTGATGGTCCCTTGCCCATGGCATTTGCATGTATTTGCGCTAGTAACATCAAGCAACTATAGATACACGATGACACGTGCACACATTACACATTGGTCAACACTTTAGCTGCTGTGCAAGGATCTCTCAGCCTCTCAGTTAGTAGTCACTTCGAGTCATTCCTGTCACAGTGAAATGGCCTGTATTAATTCAACAACGCAGGGCCACAGGAGTTTGCACCTTGCAGACCTGAACCTGGACCAGTCTGGGCCATTTGTTTCGATCCTTCCCAACTGAGGCTTTTGCTCCTCAGCCGCAGGCACACCAGGCTTGGTGAGCAGCCGGGTTCTGGCATTTGACGTTTTGTTCAAGGGAAAGCTGGATCTGCACTCAGCACTGCCGGGTGGTTCCTTTTCAATCCTATTTGCATTTGCTTTCCTAGCTGGTCATGAGCCTTGTGATACACTGCTTTTTTGCAGCATGTAGCATGCTTGTTGCTACTTTATCAGACACGTTTCAGTGAACTGGTGCCTCTTCAGGCTGCCTCAGCACCAAACTCTGGGTCAGCCGGGCGTCCAGTTGATGGCATTGCCGACTGCAAAAGGGGTTGCATCCGCTGAACACTGAACATGATGCATGATACTGAAGTGAAGTATTGCCAGTATTGCTGAGCAAGATTGCTGGTACTTGCATTCAGATGCACATTACGAACCAGGATCATGTGCATCAATACTTGGAGCCGTCATGGCCCTCTTGATATGTTTACAGCACTATGCAGCATGCAGCAAAATGGAGAGTTGAGCAAGGCTGAGTTGCCTTTGCTAAGGCAAACTTGCTCGACCTCATGTGAAATGGTGTGAAATGGGTTTAGTTCGCGACCACGTCTGTGGAAATCATGGACACCATCTACTCGCTAGGCACAAGCCTTTTTGCCCATGAGCACATATTCTTTTGCTTGATGTACAAGAAGTGCATCAACATCACTTGTATGGGCAAAGAGGCCTGAGATAGCTTGAAGCTGCCGCACATGAGCGTGAAAAAGAGCTGCAGAATGTTCGGAGTAGATTGCAAACTGATGATAAGCCTTTTCAATTCAGTTTGTGTCATGTATAGACTCGGAAGTCAAACGAGCTGTCCATATCTAATCGTCTATCATTCAGTGGTTCGACTGCCAGCTTGATTCTATTCAGTGTGTCCAAAGCTTTGTTTGGGCTTGTGCGAGTTGACAAAACCCTCTCGAAGATTCGGCCAACCACCATTACAGATTCGGCAAACACTTGACGCGTTCTTCATGTTTAGACCATTTATATAGACCTTTCTTTTTTCCCCCTTTCTTCTTGTGTTGACCCTATTGCTTCGTTTGTGTGCGAAGCAGCTCCGCCCAGCCCAGCATCCGATCGTGGACTGGGCCAGCTGACGGACGATTCTCTGTCGCAATCCCACACGGCGCAACAAACCTTTTGCCCCAAACGGTCACTTTTTTTCGAAAAAGTCGTAAGAGCGATGGCCTCCAACCTAAGAGCGTCCCTTCCGACTCTTTTTCGAAAAAATGTCTGTCATCTTTTCTGCGATTGGCGCCGATCTGCCAGGCTCGACAGCCCGGGAAGGGACGCGTGAACATCGAAGCCCGCACCGCTGATGCAAAGCTCATAGCGCACAAAGCGCCGTCCGTCCGCATGAACTTGCGGACTCGCTTGTGGCACCTTGTGGCTATCCTTTTCGACAGGAGACCAACACAGCCTCGTTTTGGATTCGGACAGGTCCAAGCTTGCTGGTCATGGCTTAAGCCGCTTAAGCCTTCCTGCAGCTGGCAAAATGCAACTTTTAGCGAACCATGTTCCTCGCAAGGCCACTACTGGAATTCTCACCTTTTACGTTGCCTATTCTCTACCAGTGTTTGCACACAGGTCATATACTGCACATGGCGGTGCAAGCTTTTAGTTTCAGGGTTTTGCAGCTTGCATGCAAATAGAATATGATATGTCGAGCCCGACAGTTTCTTCCTCAAAACTCAACGAGCCGCGGGACGAGCTTCGATCAAGACATCAACGCAATCCACTTTGGGTGGTGTGGCCAAGAGGCGACCTGGCTGCTGAGCACGGTCGTCTTTCCAAGTTGGTTGGCCTGGTTGGCCCTTGTTTATGTTTGGACTCTTTGTAAACTGTTTGGCACTGTTTTACTTCTTGCTTACTCTTGTTTGTGCTCACCGGCGGGCGGCCGCCTCATAGCTGCGTACGGTTGCACTTCATGAGGCAGTGCGCATCAAACACATGATGCATTGTGATACTACAACTGTGTTAACATCAGCTGCGTTCTTCCCTTCCCTGCCAACCTGTGGGACTTGCTGGAATGGCCTGAGGTCTTTGCACTTATGTTTCCACAGGCGCTTAAGGTACTTGAAGGCAGAAGGGACCCAAATCCCAACTAGTGTAAGCCCGATGCACATAAGGCAAGGCAGCGTGGATGAAAAAGGGAACAAGACAGGAGAAGACAGAGACAAAACAGTACTCATACGGAAGAGTTGCCTCAGCGACGAGGGATCTAAGTCCCACCTTATGTTGCCGTGCACATTGATGCTGGAGGCAGGAAGTCATGGATAGAGCAGAAGAATAAGGAGGAGAACAAGGGGACGAAGAAGAGGGAAAGAAGAAGAAGAAGAAGAGGGAAGAAGAAGCAGAAGAATAAGAAGAAGAATAATAATAAGAAGAATAGTAATAAGAAGAAGAAGAGGGAAGAAGAAGAAGAAGAAGAGGGAAGAAGAAGAAGAAGAAGAAGAAGAGGGAAGAAGAAGAAGAAGAAGAAGAAGAGGGAAGAAGAAGAAGAAGAGGAAGAAGAGGAAGAAGAAGAAGAAGCAGATGAAGAAGATGTAGACGAAGACGAAGACGAAGAGGGAAGAACAGGGAAGAACGGGGAAAAAGAGAGAAGAAGATGGAAGAAGGGGAAGCACAACTGAAGAAGGGAGGATGGGGCAATGAAGGGAGAAGCAAAGACTACTGCAACAACGGCATAACATAACATAGTCACCTCCAGGAATGAGCGGAATGAGGGACCCAAGTCCCAACTCATGTAATACTGCGAGAAGGTGGGGGAAGAAGTGGGAAGTAACACTCAGCAAGTGGTATAGCGGCAATTTACGACGTATGCGGCGGGTGGCTTTTTGAGCATGCGGCTCATGGCATTCCAGACTCTGGCGGGCAGGGTGCCGCAGCGTGTGCCACCCCAGGCAGTTTCAGTCGCTCCAGCTCAAGCCGGCGAAGCTCTGCCAGCTGCCAAGCGTCTTTGCCTGTTTCCCCCATGTCCCTTCCAAAGCTTCTATGCTCGTCCTACCTTCGCCCAAGTGTTTGTACAAGAGCAGGTTGCGCTCCGCAAGGCTTCCACATTGCCACTGCCTAGTGGCGCAATCGCTTTAGGCTCCGTGCCGCGCTCCGGAATTTCCGTGCTCCGTGCCATCTTTGGTCGTCTTGTTTGCACCCCACAGCGTCCACCTGGATGACGGCGAGAGACTCCCGCAGTTGTGCCGAACATGTCGTTTTTGTCCCTTTTATATTTTGTTATACGAAAACTGAGACAAAGGACCAAAGGGTAAAACTCAGAATGTAGAGCAGAATAAACAACCAAAGAGGTATTGGTTCTATGGGTCCAAGGGGGGGCGTCACCCCCCCCACAACTGAAATTGTTTGGGGCTTCACCCAAAAGAAACAACGGCGCAGCGAATGTGTGTTCGAACAAACAATATCAAGCAGCGCTCTTTGATGCAGTGCGCACATGTGTTTGGTTTGATCCAGCGGTGAACAACTCGAACTGAAGCAACATGGAAAGTTATCTAGTCATCTCCATGGAACTCATAGCAAAGAGGGGGAGCGTTTCCTTGTCGCTTTCATTCTTTGCTTCCTGCATTCCCTTTGCCCTCGTCAAATCCCAGCTCTCCTCTCTTCTTCTTGTTGATCTTCTCTCGTTTCAACCAGGCACACACGATTTGTTGTCATGACTTGTCCAGAAGATCCGAGCTCATCTCCTTGGTGAGCGGGTCCGCGAGCTTCTTCCATGTGGAACCCACCTAAGGCGGAGGACCTTGTTTTCCTCCACCGTCAAAGGCTATTTGCTCTTTGCTTGCCGTGCTTCCAGTATGATCACCACTTCAACCTTCAGCTGCTCTCTCCATTGAGGGGTGGTAACGAAGCCCTGTCGAAAAGAATCCGATCAGCTAAGCTCGAATGAACTACCCTTTGCACTTTTCCACTGTGAAATTCTAACAAGCTGGCCGCCAGCCTTGCTCGATCTGCTCTCTGTGGGTTTGGCGGCGACAAAATGGATCTCCGCTTGTTGCGCGTTCATAGCCGCAGTTTTCCTGAGTGAAGCGTCAAAATAAGTGACGAACAAAGGCTCTCCTCCTAGTGGGTGCCACATTGGTGGCCTGTCCTTCCTTAGCTGCTGGCTTCATTTTTCCAAGGAGTTGGTTCGCAGCTTCCAAGACCTTCCCTTTTGCCGTTGATAGACCTTGTGCCAAAGAGCTGACCTTTTAGATGAACTCTGGCATCACACCTCTGTAAGCAGACAGCTGCTCTCCTGCCATCAAGCTCCTTATTTTCAGTCGTGTTGACTTCCCTCTGAATCGAGACATACTCGTTCATATTATCGATGAAGGAGTTGTTCTCCCGAGTCTTCACTCCAAGAAAGGAGTTGTTAGTCTTTCTTCTCCCTTTTCTACCGATCTTCTTCTGAGCTTCTGTCATCTTCCCTGGAGCTTTTGCAAAGAATCCGTCATCTACATGGAGACAGAGTGAGTGGTGGTGTCAACTCATTGCGCTCCTTCATGATGAATGTGGCACGGCAAAGTTCCCTCAATGAATCCAAGCTCTTCTAATACTGTAACTGTAACTCCTTCGCTCTCACGTGCCAAAGACGTGGTGCCTCTGACAGTCCAGAATTCCTCATGGCAGGCAGTCCCTTGGGGGAGCTTTGATCACCACCGTCTCGAGAAAAGCCGTGCTGACATCAAAACATGAAGCTGCCCACTGCCGACTTGGCGTGATGATCTTGGGCCCATGTAGTCGTTGCATCTGAGCGGTATGAGCAAATGTGGGTCTTGATGTCTTGGGGCCTGGGACAACCAATCTTGACTTTGGTTGAAAGTCGCCTGCCAATGCCGTCTTGTTGAGTCGAATCAAAGGAGTAGGAGCTCGGGACACCTTCTTTGGATCTAAGTTCCTGATCTTATCTGGCAACCTCCTCACGACTTTGTTGTCGATCCATGAAGTCCACTCCTTGGTGTCATTTTCCTCAAAGGCCTTGCGCCTTGCTTCATCAAACTTAGATCCAATTCCTTTCTGTTTTGTTTGTTCACCAACAACAAGGCGTTCTTGAAAGCCTGTTGATCCTCTTCCTGCCTCCTCAGTGTCATCCACTCCTCATAGTCTTCTACTGTTTGTGACCTGATACACTCCATGTGGAAGCTCAACAAAAACCTGCCCTTGTTTCTGCGTTTTCCTCTCTTGGCACAATAAGAAGGTCACACCTCTCCATTCATGAGCCCCCCTCCTCTCTGGCCTCGCCTTCACTTCCTCTACTCTCCTGACAGATGAGAGCGGTGCCGCTCTTCTCTCTGAACATTTGCCCTAGTTTGGTGGCTTGTGGAGACGCTTCCGAGGAGCAATGTGATACGGCATGCTCGCGATGGGCAAATCCAACAGCTGAGCAATTTCTTGCACCTCCTGCTTGGATGCCCACTCATTGGCTCTTTCTTTGTTTGTGCCACGGCTCAACATTGTGTGGTGCAGGACTTGCTGCAGGACTTAGATTTTCCCCTGTGAGTCCCCCAGATGGCTCCTCGAGGTATTTTCTTTGCTTGATACGGGGCCATCGTCCTGTAGGTGATCTTTCAATCTTTGCTTGAAGCTTGTCTCACCACCATCACCTTTCAGCCATGCATCAAAGGAAGCTCGAAGTTGCTCCTCCAATTCCTGCATGGCTTGCGAATCTTCCTTTCCTTGCTCTGCACTCCTTTCCTCTGCCTCAGTCGTTCTACATGTTCCTCCTGACTCTTCGTCCTTTGTTCTCCTAGCATTTTCAATCGAACCTCTTTCTTGGTTTTGTTCTTCATTATTGTTCTTTGCACCTTCCGCAATCCTCGAAGACTCTTTGCAATCTCTTTCGCTCTGTACTTCTTCCTTCCTCGGAGCTAGACTCTTTGTCAAATCCACATACTCTCTACATCTCTCTACCTTGTTGTTCATGGTCCCACTGGCTCTCCAACAACTGAATTCGTCGCTCTGAAAACATCGCCTTCCAAGGACGTGCAGCGCCGGCTGATGTAAAATTTTTCTGCATCCCCTTCATCAGCACCACGGCGGGTCCCTGCCATGCTCCTCCATGTCTCCTGAAACGAGCTGCTGTGGGCATAGAAGAAGCACATCTCGCCTGGGGTGAGCTCCTTGACTTCTCCTCGTGGCCATCTTCAAAGTGCCCCCTTCAGTTTGTTCTGACAATACGTTTGAAGAAGAGCAGTCTTTGCTGCCTGTCGTATTTTGTTCTACTGTAACATATGAGTCTGGTTCTTTCATGTCCTCTCAACCCGTGGCCTGGAGTTGCCCTCCATGTGGTTCTGCAAAGCCATGCTGCCAGCCTGCCTGTGCTCCCGTGTACCTTGAGTGAATGCCGTGAGCTTCCAACCATCCGATGAACTCCCCGTCGAACTCAACTCCTTTGATCAAGGAACAACATTTGAGAAGTCCCATAGAGGCTGCACCAGTTTTCTTGCGGGCCACATAGTTGGCTTTGCGGTTCTGGAGCAGTACCGCCATCTGGCGAAGGTGGGAACTGGACACCGTATGTTGGTGCTAGGCCGCTAGGCTTGACAATCCTGGTCCATAGATAGGACTCCCCATGGCGGTGCACATTGTGGGCTAGGGGTGTGGTCTGGTGGTTGGTTGCATGGATGGGCTGCACCCTTTTTTCTGCAGCCTCCGTGGCCCTTTCCTGTCTTCCTTTAGGAACTTGGGCCGTGTCCCTTGCCCCTGCTGGAGGACGTGTCTGGCCTCTATGGATCCTGTCCTGGGGTCCTCCGCAGGCAGCAGTGGCACCGCCTCTGGTCCTCGACTGCAACGGCATCAGCTGCGTGCCTGCACGTCACCATGGGCCGGCTCGGCCATGGTTCACTTGAAGGGCGAATGCAACACAAATCCCTCAATGTGGGTCCAAGGGGGCGCCACTCCTTGGCAGTGTAGAGTGTAGAAGACGCTACTAGGAGCAAAGGGCATTGCTACTAGAAGCAAGGACGCTACTAGGGGTTCCTGGCCTTACTACTAGGAGCAAGGACGCTACTAGGAACAAGGACGTTATGTGGGTCCAAGGGGGCGCCACTCCTTGGCAGTGTAGAGGACGCTACTAGGAGCAAAGGGCATCGCTACTAGAAGCAAGGACGCTATGTGGGTCCAAGGGGGCGTCACTCCTTTAGCAACGTGGGCAGCCACCTGTTTGTGACCACAAATTTACAGGTACATACAATTCGACAATACCCTGCCTGCCTGCTGAGCCCCACCTCAAATGCATACGTTGGTCTGGCTTTGGCCCCGATCTTGACTGCCCAGGCATGTGCGAAGCAATCATGTACAGGTGGTGGAACGCAATCTCTCGTTGCAACCCCCCGTATATCATATATCCAAAGCGCCCGCAGCAGCGGTCCTATAAGTGCGCCCACACCGACGAGTCGACGTACACCGACGCGCCGACCTAAAACCTTGAGCGCGCATCGCGTTGACGAGCCGACGTGCACCGACGCGCCGACCTATACCTTGACTGTAGCAGCACAGCGGCGAGCCAACGCACCGACCACAATCAGTCACCGCGCTCTCTCCTTCGAGCTGACGCGAACCGACGAGACGATGCAGCGCGGACAGTATACTCAAAATATCTCAAAATGATTCGAAACACAATATGCACCGACGAGCCGGCGTGCACCGACGAGCCAACATGTGCCGTTGCGCACCGACGCACCAACGAGCCGACGCTGCACCGACGAGCCGACGTGTACCGGCCAGCCAACGCACACCGACGAGCCGACGCCACCGACGAACTGACAGGCACCGAGCACCGAAACATCGATGCGGGCGCCGACCAGCCGACGCAGCGCTGACGAGCCGACGCAGCGCCGACGAGTGCCGACAGGGATTTTCTGACGGGCGGCCTTTACTTGTGCTATTGGAGCCAAGATGACAAAGCTTTTGAGGTATTCCTTTTTTCCCGCAGCGAAAGTTCCCTTGCATCTCACAACCCGTGCTGCGGCACTTTGCGCATACCTTGCGTTTGCAAAAGCCATATACTTAGATTGTATTTTGTCAATCCCACGGTAGTTTTTTTTCTGGCAGTTGGCGTCTGTGTTTTATAAAAGACTTGGCTCGGCCGCCTCTTTCGCACATAATCTGTTCAGCTTCAGTCAAATCCTGGCAGCCCCTGCAGCAGATACTTTTGCGGGCACTGCGGAGAAGCCAACCTCGCTTTTAAGGTCCTGAAGCACCAAGGGCTCACAGTTTGTAGTGCGGAGCCGGCGTGGGGCGGGGGTGTGTGGACAGGTGACGAGCATCAGTATCCACGATGGAAACCAAGGGAGGACAGAGGTTCTTTGGCAGCTGCACATGAGCATGGAGTGGGTCGACCATGCCAGGGGAGTCCAGAAGTTGCGAAGTTGCGAGACCTGGCGTACTGGTGAACCTTGTATGAGTTTTTTGCGCGCCGCTTTTTGCCAGTAAAGCTCACTTAAACCATGCTACCCTTCTAGGTGGCTGGGTGCCAGTCAAGCGCCAGCCATTCGACTGTTGTGGTGCCAGTGTTGTTCTTTAAGCTGCGCAAGTGGACTTCTGATCAGCAAGGCGAGAATGTTCACTGCTGCCACATCTTTGTCACAGTGGCCATCATCATGGCGCTGGAGGTGCTGCAAGCGACGAGAAGCGGCCGCCGACTGAGTGTTGGCGTCGTGGTGTTCTTACTGGCTCCACTTCAAGCTTTAGCGAAGCAGCCCTCAGATGCTCTCAGCACGCTCTTGCAGTCAGACCTGATGAGAGGCGCTGAGGGGTTTTGCGCGTTGAGGATCGATTGTGAGGTATGCCTGTGCATCACCTCTTCTTTGCTTTGCCTTGTTGACATGTGAGGTGTGCTCCTTCGCTTGGTCCTAGCTTTTCGTTTTTCGTGTCCCAGAAATTCCTACGACTTACCCCTGGTTTTCTGCAGTCCTCCATCCGTAGGGGCGGGTCTTCTGCAGGTGTCTCATGCGTGGGCCCTTGGCTGTCGCCGGTTTCGAAGCTGAGACGAACATCGTCCTTGCAGTGAGGAAACGGGCGGAATCCCACAACATCTGTTGCATGTGTGTTTGTCTGCGTATGAAGGCCGAAAGTAGGGGAACGTGCGACTCGTCTGTCCGCGATTTCTGGCGTGACACAGCATTTTGGGTTGATGTTGGGCCGTACCGGCCGTGGTTCTTACGTAATGCCCAATACCAGCATGTGGTTGGCATGGCCTCTCTTCCAGACTCTGTGCTGGATTTCGTCGTGGTGTCCTTTGACACTTGGCAATTTGCCCCTTCTGCCTCTGCTTCAACCGCTAGCCTGCCAACGCAGAGATGTGGCGTCAATTCTTGGAGAGGCCTGCTGAGGCAAGCAGACTCAGCCGACAGTATGGGTGGCGTGTTGGTTCTTCCTTCCAAGTGCGCCCAGCTGGCCTCATGAACTACTGGGTTGATCCAAGCAGTCACTTTGACGTTTCAAGGAGGGGGCCCATACATTTTGCAACTGTCCGTGGTGCGCCCCAGCTGCGGCTATGAAGCTGAGTTTGAGACAGGTGATCCTGCTGTCTCTGGGCTTCATCAAGTTTTCAAGATCCCTTTGGACATATCCCAGTTAAAAACATTGCATTTGGATATTTGGAGCCATACAGAGCAAAGCACCGGTTTAATAGCCTATTCTAACGGCTTAACAGCTTAACAACCTATAACAGCTTAACAGGTTAGCAATTTAACAGTTTCTTCTAACAGCTCACGGCTTGATACGAAGCGCGGGCGACCCTCAGTACACCCTGTACAGTCAACTGTCGGTTGGTCGGTCAAACCTTCGGCGTTTGGTTGGCGTAGTCAGCTCCTCGGCGCGTGGTCGGCGCTGTCAGCTCCTTGGCTTGTGGTCGGCGCAGTCTGCTCCTCGGCGTTTGGTCGACGCAGTCAGCTCTTCGGTGTGTGGCCGGCGCAATCGGCTCTTTGACGTGTGGTCGGATTTGCTGCATGGTCGTCTCCTGGTCTGGCCGAATGCTTGGCGTACTTATCGGCGATATCCATGGTCGACTCCTGGGCGTGTCAGCTCCTCGGCGTGTCTATGCAAGTTGGTCGACTCCTCGGCGTGTCGGCTCCTTCCTCGACTCCTCGGCGTGTCAACTTGTGAGCGCAGGTGGCAATTGGTCAACTCCGGTAGAAGACCTAGAATTAACTTTGTGTTGGGTTGGGTTGTGGTGTGTTTTGTTTTGTTGTGTTGTGTTGTGTTGTGTTGTGTTGTGTTGTGTTGTTGTGTTTTGTTTTGTTTTGTTTTGTTTTGTTTTGTTTTGTTTTGTTTTGTTTTGTTTTGTTTTGTTTTGTTTTGTAGTAGTAGTAGTAGTAGTAGTAGTAGTAGTAGTAGTAGTAGTAGT